ACAGGATTGGTCGAATCTGGACCAATAGTGGATGAGCAGCTGAACTACTTACATGCTACAGAGAGTTTAGGCGGGTAAGTTGAGTTTACTATCGTCTGTACAGTATATAAATTAGGTACTGTAAGTCTAATACAGTACTGTAATTTTATACATTTCTTGTGAAAAAAACATTTCTTATTCAACGGCTATAAAAATTATTTTTATTAACGATGTTTCCAAAGTTCAACGAATTTTTCACAGAAAAATAACTTATCAGAAATCGCACCTGCCGTTTGGTGCGCTGCTCCGCGACGAAAACAAGCTTAAGCAACGGTGATGTCGAACGGTGCACACTCGGTAAGTAATCCTACAATTTTTTGTTTATAGCATAGTTTATACAGATTATTCCCAAAATAATAAAAGTGTTTTGGAAATGTTGAGTCAAATTAGTCTAGAATCGATTAGTTTTATGGAAGAAAACCTTTCAAACAGCCATAGTCCGTAAACTTCACATGTGCCGGGCTGCGATTGGCTCATGTATTTAAGGATTCCTACAACGTAAAATTCGTATAACGTGGAACGTATCTACGCTTTATAGGGGAGTCTACTGTACACCCTGTATACACACACACACTTACACACACTCTCCAACCAAGAATTAGCCTAGCAGATAGAAGTAGGTGGAAATTCCAACACAAATATTTTTGGTTTAAGATTTCTTCAAGTTGTATGCAGAAATTTCTGAACGTTTAACCTGAAGCAAGTCTTAGAATGTGCTTGACTTATTCTGTTTCTGTGTAAGTGGTTCTTTTTCATTTGAAGTGCATTTTCATGGTACTAAACATAGATTCAAATTATTACAATTTGGAATTACCTAAGAAAACAGCAGAAAATGAGCAGAAATTTTACTATTAAAATTAAACACTCACATTGTTTTTGCTCTTTCCCACGTATCGCCCCAGACATAAATACCGTGACGTCTCACTAACACCGCACAGGTGTCCGGATATTCTTCCATAGCTTGTGCCATTGAATCCTTAAAAATAATTTGAAGTATTAAGATAAGATATTATTAATAAGATATTATCATGAATATATTATAATTGTTATTGAAATATTATCATGAATATAAATTTAAAATAATAATTATTTCTTTTAAGTTTCTCATAAATTTATACTTCTACAATAAGTTATTGTAATGGCAAAAAAGAAAATTTGTTATGATAAACCTGGAAAATAATCACTCAAAAATTGGTCCTATGATAGTTGAAATAAATCACTGGGTATGGTGCTGGTTTTAGAAAGCACTTTGAATAATAATTCATACAAAGTACCTCTTAAGATCAAGATTAATAGAGAATTATACTGTGACTGTTTATTACTCTATCCATCTCATGAGATTATAGTTATGCTGGATACTTTGCAAAGTTACTTCTCACTGTGATAAAGCTTCATCACATGTGATTGGGTCAACTTGCATGCACCTCCAATAGATGAGGAATAAAAGTGAAATGAATTATGTAGAATATAAACATCACCTGAAAAAGTCTGAAGCTAGTTTGCCAGACTTTTTTTCGATTTGATCATTTCAAGTGAAAATATCACTACAAAAGTCCACCAGTAAATGGAAAAAAGCTTACGAGATTTAGAACACAATTCCTTGAGATCTGAGCGTTTCAAGATTGGAAACAGCAATGCATAACAATAACTAAAGCAAAAAAGATAGCAGACTGAACACCCAAAAGGATTATACAACCAATTGCTTTATGTATAACAGCTCTTTACATTTCTGTAAATAAAATTTTATCACTCTCTGTACATTAGATAATAAATTGTGATTTAATAGTTAACTTCAAACTTATAAAGTTCAAAATTTCCTGAACTTCACATGCAATGGATAATTTTAATGTTTTCATTAGACAGACAATCTTCAGAGATCCTGTCGAAAGCAGATGTTTATCAAATAGTCATTATATATTGAATTCCCTGAATATTTTCTGATTTTGGAGGAAGGATGATTATTTTTCTTATATAGAAACAAAATTTATGATGTAATACTCAAAGGGTGTATTATTTAAAGATTTAGTCAGAAAAGTTCCAGGATGAAGCTCATAAAAAATAGAAAATTGCCAAGTAATGATCCTAGCTCCTGTCAAAGTAGTCCTCTCAGCTATCTATACAAAATTGCCAATGTTTCTGGAGGTCTTGGAAGCAAGCAGAGAAAGCTTCAAGTGTGATGCTTCTTAGCTCATTTGTCACAATCCATTGGATATCTGCGATATTTTGACAAAATGTCCCTTTCAGTCAGTTGCTTTATCAATTGTGAAAACAAGAAAAAAAATCACACTTTTCTAACAAAGGGTTGTAACTGAAAGGGACGTTTTGTCAAGATATTGCAGATATCCAATGGACTGTGATAAATGAGCTAAGGTTTAAAGGATCACACTTAAAGGTTTCTCTGCTTGCTTCCAAGACTTCCAGAAACATTGGCAATTGTGTATAGATAGCTGAAGGAACTATTTGACAGAAGCCAGGATCATTACTTGGTAATTGCAATTTTCTATTTTTTACAAGTTTTGTCCTGGAACTTTTCTGACAAAGGGTGCATAATTTTAGAAATAATAATAATAAATTTTATGTAGAGATAACTAAATGAATCAAATTAGAAAAATGAAAAAGCCAACAATGTTGCTAACTACTATAAATGTGCATGCACTTTCAAGATGATGATTCTAATAATAATAATAAAGACATTATAACAGCTTTCCATATTTACATATTGTAATTTTTTCCATTTAATTCATTACTGAAATTGTATTAATTTGCACAGTATTTTGATAAAAGTGTCTTAACATTAAAAAAGTTTTTAATCTAAGAAGAAATTTATTTTTTACTTCTGCATGTGTTGATTTTAGTGTTCAAAATATCATTAATGAGATTTTGACCATTTATGGGGTTATATCAATGAAAAAGTAGCATTGTGTTTGTGTGAGATCAGGCAGACCTCTACTGATCATTATAGCATGGTGAGCTGCTAAATTGACGGTTGCTATATAGAAAATCTATTTTATTTACAATTTTTATTTCTGTTAAACTTAAAAAATTTGTGTTTCTTCCAAGTAATAAAGTTAATAGTAAAAGATACTGTAAAAGTGAGATACATTAAAAGTACCAATTAATTAACACCTGTAATCTAGTTAAAATTTATTTTAAGAACAAACATTTTCAACTGTCTTTAACAGCCATCTTCAGATTATGAAATGTTATATAGAACAAAATTCAAATAAAATAGAACTTGTTAAATTCATGCTGTTTGCATGCATCAAATAATATTGAAGGAAAAATAAAATACAAAATGATATAGCAGGGATTAGATAAAGTATATATAAGGTTTAAAAATCAAAACATAAAACAAAAATAAAAATAACTAAAATTATAAATAAGATTATAAATGTTCATAAATAGCCTTCCATGCATGCAATACTGAAGATGTGTCATGAAAATTAACAACAAAACTCTTAGTCTCTTTGTAAATTTTAAGGTTTTCAAGGTACTTGACCCAAGTAGGAACATATATGCTATGTAAGAGATGCATTATTAAAAGCCACTCAGACATCATTGTCATAAGCAAAGGTCATAAGGGTCTTTGTGAACAAACCCTTTCAAATGGTGTAGTGATGTTCCTTTAGTCTAATATTCAGTGATCTGCAGGTAGCTCCAATTTACTTCTAGTGCTAATTTATCTTGTTATCAAAAATAGGAATCATGTAAATGTCAGGTAGCATAGATCATTCACATGTCTTGTTATCCTTCCTCATCAAGGAAAACTGTTGGACTTTTTAAGTGCAATATTAATATTGGCTAGCTGGGATATTTCTCTGTAGATACCATAGAGAACCCTTCCTATTAAAGGTAACAGTCTTGTATGGCAGATTATTGTTCTCTATAAAATTGACTGGAATAAGATACTGCCACACAAAGCACTTGATGAGATTTGTTGAGTAGCCTAGGGCAGTGGCAATCTCTTAATATGTTGGAACTCTTTGTTCCTGGAATGCATGTCAGAACAATGAGTATATGCTCTTTTTATTAGTGCTCTGAACACTGCTATCTTGTAAGAAAATGGATCATGTGACATTGGTGGAATGAATAAGGAATGGTATGTGTTTTTCCTCTAGACATCAGTAGTGATAGCTCCATTATGTACATTGATAAGGATATCCAGGAAATGTACTTGGAATGTGTCCTGTTTGTTCAGTGGAGTGGTAAACTATATGAATTATTGTTGATGGTTGTAAGGAATTCCTGTAGCAAGGGTTTGTGGTTTCAAATAATTAAAATGTTCTCAACATATCTGGTATACAGTATGATGCTAGCTTGAAATGTAGAGAGGACTGTCTGTTCTAGTTGTCATACTACATCTCATATAGGGTACCCAAAATTGGACTACCTGATCTGGTAGTAAGATGACTAGAACAGATGATCATGATCTCTTGTTCAGTAAAATACCAAAGAACATTACATAAAACAGAAACCATTAAATAGTAATTAAATTTAAATTAAATTCAATAAAACTTTAAATAATGATTACCTTTAAATCTTTTTCAAATGGTGTATTTTCAATAATTGGTACAATCAAAAGGTCATCATACCTGTAATTTGTACCTGTAGTACCCTTTTTGATTCCCTGAAATTTAGACATTTAAAATGAAAATAATTTCAAATTCATATAACATATTTCTATTTTTTATAAATTCTATATATATATATACAGTGGGTAATCAGTTAATGAACAAATTGGACAATGAACACCTCACAAAACAAACACAAAAAGAAGTGACGTAAAACGTAAAATAATGAATACTGATTGGTCTTCCCTTGTCTTCAGACAATTTGAAACTTTTTGGAGCACAAGACGTCAACATCAATGCTCAACCCAGTATATACTGATCAGATAGTATTCCTCCAAACTTTGAAACTCTCCCTTGTAATTCCTTTTATTTTTCTGACAGAAACAATTTTTTTATAGTATTTGCGAGACTGTCAGGCGGGCACTCATTAAGTTTTGCATCAGTTTTTATTTTTGAAAGGTGAGAGTATAGTAGGAAAGGTAGAGAGTGGGCATATGTCTTATGTCTGTTGTTGCTGGGCAGTATGGCTTGAACAGGTCTACAGTAGGCCACAGTTCAATCTTATCTAAGAAAGATACTGTATTATCAAGAAGACTCAAGCAGATTAAGGAATAACAAAAATCACATCTGAGAAATATAGAATGTTGAAGAGCTCATATTGGAACCTGAAACTGATCTGACGACAGAAACACCAAGAACTCTTGAATGAAAAACACCAAGAAACTCAATGAGATATGTTTTTGTGAGATCAGCCGGGGGTACACGTCTGTGTACCACTTAATCGGCAACCAATCGTTAGATCAGTTCTTGTTTGTCTACAACAGTGTTTCTCAACCTGTAACGAATCGTCGCCCCCTTCAATAAAACCGTTACATAGTATCGACCCCTTCACTTCAAAATTCCGATGCCGAGGGCCAAGGCTAACACCAAATTTGTACTACATTGAATAGACTAAGGACTAGTATAATGTTATTTGTTTAATTATTGTACAATATAATGAATAAAATATCTAATTATTCTTAATATAATGTTTTACTATATCACCCAGAAAATTGTTTTTCACCACCCAAAATATAAATTGTTACAAATCGCCCCCTCAACATGGAAAAACACCCACATGGGGGCAATATCGTCCCCGTTGAGAAAATATGGTTTACAAGGATGGCTTTACGACTAAAAATATCGAGTGTGGAGGAACTTAAGTTGCTAGTAAAAGGTGGGGACTATGATTTCACAATCAATTCTCCTGTCAGGATTCCTGACACCAGTTAATTGTATTTTAATATGGATTAACACGTTTAAACTCAGAATTTCAAGTATGAGGAATGCAAGTACTTGAGTAAGCAGAGGTATGGATATTAGTCATCAAAGAGACAATATTTAACGTAACAAAACAAAAATATTTAATGGAACAAAAATAATATTATTACAACAAAAATGGATTACAAATTATATATATATATATATATATATATTTATTTGGATCTATCTTGAGAGAAAATTCAACCATCTAATTTAATCTAACACAGGAGAGAGTTTACATCAATCTACATATTAATATACTACCTTCCCAGTTCTTTCAGACTCTTGTATTGGAACATTCAGTATCAGAAATATGCTTAGTAATCATCATTTCTATGGATGTGCTATTTCAACATGCTCAACATTTATGTGGCGGTCTTCTTCTCTTAACTATCGTACGGCGAATTCGTAGAACTGCCTAATGTTGCCTTCTCTTCGTATGGAGAACTGCATTAAATCGTATGGCTATCTTTCTCTATGGACTGCCTGACTAGTATGGCAAACTGCCCTACATCATATTGAAAACTTCCTCGAATGGCGGGAAAATTCTCTCTTTTATCCAAGTCAACAGCCTACAGCCGGCCAAGTCTCGTGTGCAGCCATTTCTCATCCAACTTACTAGTCATCAGAGAAAGGAAATGAACTTCCTATCAAAATCGAAAGTTTTTAACATCTGTTGATTCAAAAATTTGTTAAAATTACAAAAATTGAATTTCTATTTGAATTTGAATCATTCTCTCTCTTTTCCTAATTTCTTTAAAAATGACTCACCCCTTAAATCTGGATTCTCACATTTTCTTCTGAAAAAGAGAATTAATGTCAATATCTGCTATTATATATTTTTTTACAGAAGTGGGATGATGTCAGAACAACGGTCTTAGAATGGCATCCAAACCAAGTTGAGGTTAATAGGCTTGGGTTCTCTACAATTACAATGCTATTAATTACTTCTGAAAAATCTTGAAGAAGAGAGAAAAGCAATCGACATTAGACAGATTCTCTAACCCCACAAATGGAAAAAACATGACTAATAAAATTGCAAGACTGTGTATATATGTATTTTTATTATTACATATAAATGAACATAGTAAGAAAGTATATATTTTTTATTTTTAGGGGTCTCCATAACGAATTAACCTAATTCCCATAAAAACCTATGGTAAATGATAATTGATTAACAAACAATTCGGATAGCGAACAAAGTCTTGGAATGTATTATGTTTGTTAACCGATCACCCACTGTATATGCTGCTTATTTTTATCAATTATCTAATGTCAAATCAAAATGTCCTAAAACATATAAATTAAATATCATGATAATTGTAAGTTAATGTTTTATAACTTTTTGATTTAATTAGACAGTTACTAATAGTCAACTGACAAAACAAATAACAACAGTTATAAACCATGTCATTGCAATAAAAACATTAGCAACACAGTCAGAAATCAAATTAAATGAAATCATCCATCATGTTTACTCTTAATATACCAAACACTTGTTTTGTAATCTAGCATTCAACACTATATGATACATTGAAATGTTAATTATCTGAAAAATCAATTAACTGAAATCAACTTCAGAGAATACTAATGCCAGAAATTACAAAGTTGTTACTTAATAATGATTGTTGACAATCTTCCGTAGATCCACTATTAAAAAAAGTTATCATCAATACTAGTTTTACTTTGTGTTGAAGAAAATAAAACCTATTAAAATTTGTCATTGTGCCTTCATACAACAATGCATTACAAACAGCATTGATATGGCTAGAAATGCAATCCAAAGCAGATTTTAAGTTGTATATTTTATTTAATAATAATTTTACTGTTATGTATTTTTTACATTGTATTCAAAGTGTCATCAATACATTGAAAATTGCAATAAAAGATTGCCTAATTTATTAAAAACAAACCCCAATTTTTTCGTTATTTCTTAACGTTCACATGCATTAAATTACTATGCATTTGGAATTATTGTTAAATATTTTTCAATAAACAGAAATTTCTATTTTTTAAACTAATTTTAAAGTTTCATGTTACATATTTTTTATTTTCAAATGATAACACACAATTAAATCAAAGAGAAATATTCTTTTAAATGTCTCAGTACATGTTTTTAATAGTAAAAAACAAACATTTCTATGCAACTGAATCTAGCATAAATCAGTTTAAATTTTTAGTGATTTTTTTCCCCAATTATTTATAACTATACTAATAATCAAATATATTCCATAAAAAGCTTATACCAATTTCACTTTTGGTAATTCCATAAATTAAATTATAGATAATTAGCAGATTTAAAAAACAATTTACTTTAATCATTTCTTGATGCGTTATCTGAAATTCCTTTCCTGGATAAAGAAGTGTAGCTAAAACTGCATTTTTGGAATGGGAATGTATAACTGCACCAGCTCCTGTCATAATCAGTAAAATTACATATAAATATAATTTTTTAAATATTAATTAATATCAAATATTAGATAATGATTATTAACTATTACAAACATTTTCATTATCAAAGTTAATAAATATATAACGTTCCCTGGGCATAATTAGAAGGGTAGCCTATTCTTCTTCATTTTACTTTCCTTTTTTTTTTGCCCAGGGAATGTTCGATGCACCTCATTTTTCCCAAAAATTAACAAAGTTAGTAGCTTCTTTGATGCCAACTGAAGTAAAATCAGGTGTTGCCATGATGACTGTAAGAGGATTATTAACTGTTAGAAATAACAAATTAAATATATAATATAATTAAACTAAAACTTTTCACACACTTCCAACACAGAAAGTTTATCATCACAAATGTTTTTGGCCTCTTTCTTGGGCCTGCCTTGGGTTACAATTGTTATTTTTTGAATGCTGGTTGAGAATTTTAATTTTGGAATGCATTAAAATTCTTGGCCAGTGTTCAAAAAGCAATTGTAACCCGAGGCAGGCCCGAGACCAAAAACGTTTGTGATGATAAACTTTCTGTGCTGGAAGTGTGTGAAGATGTAGTTTTAGTAAGTTACTTGTTCTAGCTCCTGAAGTTACATAGCACAACTAAAATTTTGTATATTAAAAAAAAGAGCAATTCTGATAAAGAAACTTTACTACAACATTCCTTTATTCTGAATATTTGTAATAAACTAAATCATAAATTCACAAATAGCCTTTATCATCTTTTCATAAGTAATGGTATTCAAATCAACTATTTTTGAGGGCTGTTAAGCATAAAATAAAATAAATATTGCTTACACTTGCTTAACATATTAATAAAAAATATTTATTGCTAGCTGCAGAGAAAATGAAGTAAATAAAATTAATTTTCAGCTGAAGTATTCAGCTTCAAATATTACCATTTCTAGTTCTGTAGCATTTCTGTATTAAATGCTTAATTTCAGGTAGCCAACTGTTTAAATTTCTTACAAAGAAATGTTTTCATCATGTTTTAGGACAGCTTCAGCTTCTTAATGAATATATGATCACTGTTCAAACTGAAGTCAAACATTTATATTGTTTTTGATGAATCAAACAATATTTCAAATGATTGAAATATTGTTTGATCTGTCAAATGAAAATGAAAATACTCTTGCAAAGATCTCAAAATATGAGAGAAACTAAGATGAGATGTAAACTGGGAAGTAGGCAGAACTGTAGTTACAGAGGGGCTATGAGGTGACTAAGCTCCAGTTTATCTCATGTGTGATAATGCATGAAGTGCCCCCTAGGCTTCTCCCCTTGACTGAAGATTCAAAATTGCTTCGACAATGACACTGCACAGCAACTAGGACTTTTTTTGTTTAATGTCGGTGTTGTTGTTGTGAGGTCACACAAGCAGCTGTGTGCACAGGTGACAATCAGGTTTGGGATGGAGAGTCACATGGAGAAGGTCAGAGAGATGGCACACCAGAAGTGAACCACTCAGATGCCAGGTTAACAACTAATAACAGTTTAATTTCACAGAAAACATGATTCACCTTTGTAAAATGTTAAATTAATTGATCTGTATTGTAAGTGGTTGAGAGAGAGAGAGTTCACATGAGATTCGTATGGAGAAAAATACTTGTAGTTTGGAAGATCCATTTGTAGATGTGATGCAGTAGAGAATTTGGTCTGTCCCTTAGAAAGGTTAACTAAACAAGAAAGTTGGTACATTAGAAGAGTTCTGGATAATGTTCCAGCTCAGTCGATTGTATATCCATTTCAGAGGCACGTAGTTAATGGTATCAGTCGTATTGGTGACTTGTTGCATTGGGGAGGAATGGGCAATGACTTCCTCATTGGGATGTCAGTTCCGATATTAAAATGGTAGCGCATGATCAGGAGGTCAAAGGATCATGGGAAAGCATCACTTTCACCATCGAGAACATGCAAACTGAGAAGTTCTCAGGTAGTAGATGAAAACAGTTATTCAAATAGGTATGACAAAATCGTGTATTTTTCGTTGAATTCTAGGTTCTCATATAAAGTATACACTATATATATTGCATGTAAACTTTCATTATGTAAATTTAGGGTACTATTACTTTTGTAAATTTTTTCATCCCAATGCAGTCTGGAACACATGAAATAAATGGTGGTCCCTTTTGGGCAGACTTTGTCTTTAATTTTATTAATAACAATCTCCATTGAATGAAAAAATTTACAAAAGAAAAATTGGAATGTATTGTTACCAGGGGGAAGTTTCCAAAATCTGCATTTTCCAGCACTTGTTCCAGTAGATAAAAGCAGAAACACTCCATAGGATGGATGGAAAGCAAGATGTCTGTATATCACCAGTTCCTTTTTAGAAATTTTTTATAATTTTAATTGGATATATTTGTGTTTTTTAAAGGACTTTTNTTTATTAATAACAATCTCCATTGAATGAAAAAATTTACAAAAGAAAAATTGGAATGTATTGTTACCAGGGGGAAGTTTCCAAAATCTGCATTTTCCAGCACTTGTTCCAGTAGATAAAAGCAGAAACACTCCATAGGATGGATGGAAAGCAAGATGTCTGTATATCACCAGTTCCTTTTTAGAAATTTTTTATAATTTTAATTGGATATATTTGTGTTTTTTAAAGGACTTTTTTAAAATTCTGGCGGCATGTAGCCTATAAAGAAAGGTCTGTTGCTGTGAATGTGTAGTCTGAAACACAAGAAATAAATGGTGGTCCCTTTTTGGCAGACTTTGTCTTTAATTTTATTGGTACTATTACTTATTTTTACATTTAAACTGTAGCTAACAGACCTAATGATAGCTGAAATAGTGAAAAATACCAGTCACAGTTTTTTCAGCTTGCCCCTCTAGCACCCAATAATTTATTCCTGGTTACAGTACTGCAAAAAGGAAAAAAATGAACAGATGAAGTTGAACAGATAAAAAGAGAATTATTATAGTTAACATATTTTAACTTTTAAACTAAAGTCTTAGTTTATAAATAAAATCTTGCTGTGAATTGTTAAGAAAAGTTTTGTATTAAAAATATTAAAGTGATAAATTTATAAATTGTTTGAATTGGTGAAAGTTATGTAACTGTTCTGTTCATACAATGAATTTTCAAAATCAGTATCACCTGAATGACACAAGATGTGCAAATGCCATTAAAACCATTAACAGCCAGAATTTTGCTTGTATAATTTTGAATTCTGAATGTACTTTGAGGAATGTATACCAATATTCCACTTTGTTATTTTAACGTCTCAAACTTTCTTATAAACATTTTCAAACTTACACAGTTTGCAAACTATTTTATAAAAGTATGTTAATTAATGGAGGCATAGATTTAAATACAAATATTTATAAATTTTAAAAATCAAAATAACATCAAAAATATGATTCCAGTCTAAAAGCTTTTAAATTTATTTTAAGTTGATAAATAACACACAATTATATTTACCTCTCATTGTGTAAGCATTCATAAAGAGTGGAGTACATTCACTTTTTTTAAGTTTCTTATGCGAAGCGGGTCCAGATATAAATCTTTCTTCAAGATCTTGAATAAATAAGTCTTCAGGTTGAATTCTCTCCTTCTGAACTCCAGAAGGAGCAATGTAAATTTCATTTCTAAGAAAACAGAAAACAAATAAATTTTAAAATGTAGAAAGCTTAAAAAGGTTTTAATGTATTAGATTATCCCCAATAAAATAATTTTAAAAATATCTGTTTTATTTATTTCCATAAAAAATGAAATACATATAATAAACTTATGCTAAAATATGTATATATATTTAGGAAGCTCCTCTAACAAATCCAATTCAAGTTATTTTTTCTAAGTAAAAGCTTTTTATAAAAACTCAAAACGCTTTTAAGTTTTATCAAGGAGGTAATAGAACTTTATAAATTCTCAATTGACTGTGGGCATAGGAACCCATTATTATAACAAATTAAAACACTAAAATCATATGTTACTGTAGCAAAATGTAGACTATACCATGAATATTTAAGAAATATTACAGATGGGGACAAGTCTAAATAATTTGGGCTTTAGATAGGAAAGAGCTTAAAAGAAAAGCTGGCTATTTTAATGCATATATATAAAATTGAAGCTATATATATACACAGAGTGCATAGGAAAGTCCCTTTAACTGGAACATTCTTGCGAACGGAGAGAGCTACAGCTATGCAAGTGAGGTAATGGTATAGTAAAGCAATTACGCCTGACCTAATGCAAACGACACCAGCGCCCCTAGTGGTGAAATTTGGAAGATAGACAGTGCAAAATGAAAACAGATAGAGCAAACTTTCCAATTAGAAACTTTTAGAGCAGGGGTGTCCAACCTTTTCGTTTCTCTGGGCAGCATTGGAAGAAGTCAAGGAGTTTTGGGCCAAAGTTTATATAATATATACTTGTCGCCCAATATACAAGTATATTTAAGGACTAACATGTCTAGATTATAATAATAAGTATTAAAACTTTATCATGAAAAAAGATATTTTAGAAAATTACTCTTACAGACACTTTCAATTTTTACTTAGAAATAGATAAATTCATTTATTATAAATATAAAGAGACAAACGAAAATTTATTTGAAAAACACAAATATTTGTTTTATTTGGGTCTCTAATTAATAAAAAGCGACAAAACTATTTTAAAGTGCATTTTTATTCAACTAATATATTTATGAATAATATGTAGCCCAAAAAGTAGGCAAAGTGCCAAATGATATTTTTTACATCAAACTAAAAAAAGTAGCCACATTTGGTGCAATGTAGCCAAATCTTGCAATGCTGGAAGGAATAATAAATAAAGCTGGAGTTGTGACTCAAAGGATTATAGACCCAAATGCGAGAGAAAAAAAAGGAAAGAACAAAAGATAAAGAAGTGAGAAAGGTTGGAAAATTAAGAATCAATGTTACTGTGAAAGACCAAAATTAGAGAATGTCGATATTCTCCAGTGAATGTCCGAATAATACAAAATACACAAAATACGTCGGTGAAAGTCCGGATATTTGGTTATATTATTATACATTCAAACAATCGCCGGTGTATGTCGACAAGCACAGATAAGCTTTGGTGGAGGTGGAAACGACACCCGAGAAGCCGATGTCGACAGAGAGGCGACAGTCTGTCGCCAAATCCTTTGTGAGTGGCCGAAGGTAGGACAAGGTCTTTCGATCCCGTGAGGTGGGGATCGGTTTGTCAGGTCAGTTTGAGGATGAGACGGGTTGTTGGTAAGGCATCGGCGATATCCGAATAAAAGACACCATTAACAGATCAGTTCGTAATCACGTAATAACGTAATCACATAATCAGTTCGTAATTTGTAAAGAAAAGTTACTTTCTATAGATGAGATTTCTTCTCAAGAAATAACTGTATTGATGTAAATATGTATTTTATGCAATAAATTGTGCTTATTTCTTCATACCTATGGCTATTCCTTTCACATGTTTACACAAAATGGCATGCATCGCTTTTGGACATTTTTGGCTATATAGGCGACAATTTATCTTATCCATGTGAACCACATGTGAACCACTGAGAGAAGCAGCTGCAGCTAATTCGAAAAGTGGAGGGCAAGGCTATGCACGCTGTCATTGCAAAAAGAAGTGTTCCATGAATAAATGCAGTTGTAAAAGCAAGGGACTCTTGTGCAATTCAAAGTGCCATAACAGTTTAAATTGTTTCAATAAATAAGATTGTATAACGATAATCACATAATTTATGTGTAAGTTTATTATTGTATTATTTTCTTTAATGATTAAGAATGTTCTATTCATTTTAGGTTCAATAGTTTATTTAAATGTGCTGTTACTTAAGCTTTCTCCTATTTTGACATATTAAAATGTTGCATTTTTGTCTTAATGTAATAAAAATATTTTTATTCAACATTCACCATCAGTGCATGCTGAATGTCGACATTTGCCGGTGAAAGTGAGAAATAATGATATTTAGCAAATATTTCATACATACACGAAACAACTGTGTGAATGCTGACATTCACCGGAGAATGTTGACATTCGCCAGATATCGGTTATTCACAGTAACATCAATATTTCCATAACAGAAGATCTATTTAACCTTTCTCACTACTTTTTATCTTTTGGCCTTTCTCGCCTTTCCTCAAATTTGGGTTTCTAATCCTTTGAGTCACAACTGCAGCTTTATTTAGTAATTCTTTCTCATTCACACATCTCCAAGTAATTGAAAATATTTTCTTTCCATTCAAAAATAAAATATGAATAAAGGTTTATGGCTTTGTGAAACTTCTTTTTTGAGTTTATGACCTTGAAAAAATAAATAATAAAAAAATTAAAACATTTTTCGGTTTTGTTTACACGTTTATTGGGCCGCATTGGAAGTTGCCTAGGGCCGCATGCCGCCCGCATGTTGGAAACCCGTTTTACAGCATCAATTAATTAGTACGAAACGACATGTGGTTCACATGGATAAGATAAATTGTCGCCTATATAGCCAAAAATGTCCAAAAGCGATGCATGCCATTTTGTGTAAACATGTGAAAGGAATAGCCATAGGTATGAAGAAATAAGCACAATTTATTGCATAAAATACATATTTACATCAATACAGTTTGATAACATCACACAAAAAACAACAGAAAGGCAAACTGTCACACAGTGATAACAAGTTAATGTCGAGTATGTTCGAAAAGTTTGCCATTGCTCACGATACTGCCATTGTTATCAAACTGTATTGATGTAAGTACATATTTTATGGCAATAAATTGTACTTCATACCTATGGCTATTCCTTTCAAACGTTTACACAAAATGGCATGCATCGCTTTTGGACATTTTTGGGTATACAGGTGACAATTTATCTTATCCATGTGAACCACATGTCGTTTCATACTAATTAATTGATGCTGTAAAACTTTCTAATTGGAAAATTTGCTCTATCTGTTTTCGTTTTCAATTNTATTTCTAAGACTAACGGCACAAAACCTTTCTCACTAATTTCTAGCCTTATTAACTGGAGTACAAACGTTTTCGGCCTTCTTAATAGGCCTTCCTCGGGTACACTGTGGAGCGTCGGTTAGAAGAAGTTTAAATGCTGCCAATGTTTACCCAGGTGTCGTCTTACCCGTGACGTCTTCGTCGATGATAGGTATACGATACCGAGGGAGAAAAACTACATACTACATACAAACTACAAAACTACATACATTAAGAAGGCCGAAAACGTTTGTACTCCAGTTAATAAGGCTAGAAATTAGTGAGAAAGGTTTTGTGCCGTTAGTCTATTCAACCTGACTATGTAGACAACACATGCGAGTTATCAAACTTAAGATCATAAAAATAAAACTTTCTTGAACAAGTAACAAAAACCCATATCATCAGAAAACAAGTTCATGTTAAAATTAAAGAGCATTTTATTCTTTATATTAAGTAAAATTGCATTTCTATAGATATGACTAGAATTCTTTTATCTACTACATTTTAAACATTTTAATTGTAAAATATTAATAAATAAAAAGATTCATGTTTTGAAAAGAACTGAAATAGTTTGTTCTTTGATTAATTTGTTAAAATAAGTTATACTTGTTTTCATATGGCAATCCCAAAGAAAATTTATATATTGAAATTCCCAAAATAAACACTAAATATGATCTGTAAACTAATTTATAAATAATTTAATAAGAATCAAAGTAGTCAAGCAGTTTTCCAAACTGATCCATATTAAATAGGATGTCTTTATATAAATATATGTAAAATAAATATACAATACATTATCCTTTAACAGAGAAGGGATCTTTCAAAAATCACAGACAACTATCCCTTATAAACTTGAATGAAAACAAACAAGTGCATATTAAATCATTGAATTCATTTAATTTGTACATAATGAATTTTTAAGAATTTTTTGAGTAAATAACTACTCAAAGATTCTATAGCAATTTATATTATATATAAACAATTAGACAATATATTTTCCAATAATCTTCAATACATTGCAGTACATGATCAAAATTCTTGTCATCAAATGAGAATCAATAGAAGAACTAAAATTTTACATATACAGCAGTCTTGTTTTATATGAGGATTGCAGATCAGCAGATACAATGTAAAATAAAACTCCATGAAAATTTGTGTTTCACCCAAATAGTCCCATATGGTTGCCTAGATGCAACCATTTATGATTATTAGAAAAATGTAAATAGAATAGTTTAAATATATTTTATGTTTTACTATAATGAATAATATTAGACAGTCTGAAGTTTTTGAATATGAACAGCAAAGTTTTATTATAACATATCAACTACACTAAGAAAGTCCTTCAGGAAAGTCCATAGAAAGTCCCTCAGGACTGCCTTCTGAAGGACTTACTGTGAGAAACTGATGCCAATTTAAGTGTTAGATAGATTTAAAAAAAAAAAAAAAACTCCATATGGCTAGCCCATTGATCAGACAAAAGCCTGCAACCAACTATCAATGTTTAGTGATTTCACCCATTAGCAGGTATTCATTACAGTCATTAGCATCATTTGGGTACTTCTCCATGTTTGAAATGTCAGAATTTGGAGAAGCATGGTTTACTGAGTTGAGTCAGAGATTCAGTGGCATTAAGATTGGTAACCCAACTATTAAACTTAAGAACATGAATCCCATATAAAAACAAGACTCTACTGTATTTTTAATGTAATCTAATCTACCAAACTTCTTAAATATAATTTTTATTTTAAGATAATTATCTAAATTAATTTTTATTAATATTTAGTCAAAACTGATTTAAAAACTAACCCATGTCTAATGCTAATTCCACCACCTGTGCCAGAAAGCCATTCCAAATGATAAAACTGGCGACATAATTCAGGAATTAAGTTACGAGGGTGTTCCTTTAAATGATATGAAATTATTTTATCAATAACTACACTAAATGATAAAAAATATTTTATAATTCAAAACAGTTTAATAAAACATTTTAGCAGAATATACAGACAAATATTATTTCTAGAAAATATTTTCTTACAGATTAAACTTAAATATAAAATTCCATTGATTAGACATTAATTCTAAAAAGAATCTGTCTTTCTTTTTTTTTTTTTAAATTACAAATTCAAAATTTTATTTAAACAAAAATTAATAAAAATAATTTTTAAGATTAACCTCATTGTTAATTCATAAAACTAAATTCCAAATGAAAGTATTAAAATTACAATCCAACCATAGAAAACCATTTCTTGTAAAGCTGTTTTATGAGAACAGCAGCAATGTTGCAGCTGCACTTCAGTAATTTTGCCATCATAAAAATTTATATAACCATTGATTAGATAAGCTCTCAGGAAAATGATCACTCAATTCAAGGAAACTGGACATCTGGGAGTGTGTGCTCCCTGATGTCCAGTTTCCTTGAACTCAACCTGGTGTGGCTGTACAATCATAATTTTAAGTTAGAATATTCTAGTTTGTAGCTTCTGTCCTTGATTCTTTTCTTTTCCCATTTCTGGAATCTTCTCGTCCTCATTTCTACTTCACTCAGTTGATGATTGATGTTCTAAACTGTCCCATGGGGAGAGAAAATGCCTAAGGGCCTAAAAGGGCGAGATAATGGTTTTCGGACTGGGAAGGAGAGTTCAGATTGGAGGATACAGTGGAGAGAAGTAGTCAATCTTGAGACCTAAAAGACCTAAGAATTTCTTGAAGGCTTTGTGGAACAAGAATCCTAAGGCTTCAATTAATTGTTAATGAAGACATTCTCCTTTGATCCCCAATAAAAGGATACGTTAACTTCCCCAAGAATGAACAAGGAAATTTCACTGAGAATCATCAAAAGTAATCATCTTCGTAAAAAAAGAACCAACCAAGTACGGGTACCCCTTTCTTTCCCTTTCCTTTGTCTATTTTAATTTTCCATTTCATCTCTATAGTTATAAGTTAGTTTTAAGTTAGTTGTAAGAAATTTTTTTGTAATACACAATCACACATGTTTAACAAAATTGTAAGACATGGGAATCTTTATGTTTTGTCATGTGTTGGGTCTTTTTTTGTTTTCTTGGACAGAGCTGGGCAAATGCCCTAGGGTTGGCATCTGAATTATTTTTTTCTTTTGTGCATTGTGTTATCATTTCTTATTAAATCAATTGCTGTGTTAATTATATACTGTCTTAATTGTATTGTATTTTCACCCTTGTGGCTATTCAACACAACTGCACTTTTCACACTGGTTTAGGATACAAATCTATAAGTCATCAAAGCAGTTACGACAGCTCTCGTTAAACAATCAACGAATAATGTTATAGGCTGAGTCTCTGCAGTATCACAGCAATGGGCATAACCCATAAAACAGTATAAAAGCTACTGAAGAAGTTGGTGCATTGTTCATATAAGATCAACCATAACTATCAGTTGCTTGCTACCAACAGGAAAATCCAATAAACCTTTCCATTAACCTTCCTTGGCAAAATGGAAGCAGAAGTGTTGTGACCATGAAAAATTTTATGTTGTAACAAGGTACATTTTTGTCTCAATGAAACAGTGAACACCTAACTATTGCATTTGGACTACAAAAGCCTTCTCATTTTCCAGCAGATTCCACTGCATCCAGCTAGAGTTATAATCGGTGTGGATTCAAAGCCACATTTATCCTTGGACTATTCTTTTTCAAAGAAACTAATTCCAACAAGCCTATGACATGCTTTGTGACAGCCTAGAAATATCAAGATGTATAATCTCTCTGGAACCTGTAAACGATGCGTAATGCATATATATATTATACTAACAGATCCCGTCACGCGTTGTTGTGGCTCAAAATGTATCTATTATAAATGTATAACACTTCCCCTGTGAGGGGGGGGAATTTTTTGAAAAATCCCTTCTTAGCGTACATTCTCTTGATGCACCCTATTAAAACGAATCAAAAACGCAAAAAACCGTATCTGAAATAGTATAATAGAAGCCAAGTTCTTCACGATAAGCCTTACTCCTGTCCCTCTCCCCTGCGGGGGGAATATCGACATGTATATTACATAAAAACACGTGCGTATTCAAATGCAGTGTTGTATCAAAATTTCAAAGGAATCGGTAGGAACAAATGAACATTACATTTTTATTTATATAGATAGATAGAAGATTATCTGCTTTAGTTCATCCTCACAGAAAAGCAAAGTTAGGTCATCATACTCGTAGTGCTATCTGTTGGACATAAACGCCTTAACCCTAGATGATATCTTTTAATTTATATGAATGTTTAATGGATAATATAAAGCCTATGTCCACCCTGAAGTTCCATTCTAAATATTGGTGAAAGAATTTTTGAAATCGGATGAGTAGTTTCAGAGATTACCCCCTACATCCAAACTTACAAACATTACCTCTTTATAATACAGTTTAACCCGATTATAACGACATAGGATGTAACGACAACCCTAATATAACGTCAAATTTTTATCGGTCCCACGATTTTACTATACTAGATAATGTTAAAAAACCCACTTGTAACGACATATATCCCTGTTTTAATGTCATATTTGAAGCACTTTTAAATTTACAAAATTAAATTATAAATTTTATTTATCAAAGAAAATACTGTGTTCAGTCCTAGGGTCAGAGTCCGCTTCCTAGAACGATTGTGGGTGGTACTGTCACCACCTGATTCAATGGGGTGAGATGCGCCACCCCTTTAAACGACGTGACAGTGGGTTAGTCTGCATAGCTCTCATACTCGTGTTGTAGTTTAGCATCAAATCAGGTAAAATGGCTAGCTTAAAAAGGAAAGCGTTAACATTAGACTGCAAAGTAGAAATAATTAAAGCAGTTGAAAGTGGAAGAAAAAAGATTATGCAGAGACTTTGGTTTAGCAAATTCTACAGGTCTCGTAAAACTTCATCGGAAATAATGAACAAAATCTACGACTTAGAAAATGACATTGATAAACAATTTTTAGGTGAAAAATGCCTACAATCTAAAATAACTGACTTTTTTTAAGTGAATATTTTTATTGTTTCTTTTTAATTGATATACATTAATTTAACCTAGAAGTGAAAGATATTGGACTTCATGTCTATTGATAGATAGCAAGAAACGAGAAAATTATCATCCAGACGTTAATAACACCTGGATGATAATTTTCTCATTTCTTGCTTAATTTAACTTTTTGTTGCCTTTTGATTGGACATTATTCTCAAAACCGAAAGTGCCGCCATTATCGAATGACAAATAAAAATTTTTAATTACATCGTTGTAAATTTAGACATAATAATGTAAATAAAGTTGATTTAAATATTTAGTTTGCACTTTTATACATACGATATTAAATTAGATGAATTTTATAAAAGATTCTTAAACAGACTTGATACTTTTATGGGACTGAAATTATGATCCCGCAGATAATGACACTCGGTTATAACGTCAAAAAATTGCCGGTCCCATGGATGACGTTATAAGCAGGTTCAACTGTATTAGTATAGATATCACAGTTGACAAACGTTTTCTAACATTCACACTGTTCTTCTTCAGGTCAACTGGTTAAGGAATTTCCCTGGACGGAGTGTATGTTATTCTGTGGGATCAAATGTCATTCCAATGAAGTCGGTCTTCCTTGACATGTGTGGTCGTGCATCAGAGAAGGTAGCTGTGGTTCGGCATCCAACAGAGACTGACAGGCCAGGGACAAACTCCTTCCAGTTGATGCACGTGGTCGCTTGGCTGGCGTTGTAGATAGCTATGGCCTCCAGACACCTGAGATGTTCCTGGTGAGGTGTGTTGACGATGACTGCAGCTTTCTCAAATCGCGGCTCAACTTCGGGATTGGATGCATATGTGGCTAGGGTGGAAGTGAGCCACACATGCCAGATATCTGCCTGGTGTTCCCTAATACAGGTATCCAATGAACGCTTGGTCGAACTGATGTGCAACAAGTCCTTATCCCATCTGTTGTCTCTAATTGGGATAGAATAGAAACTGGGGAGTCTGGCGTGGTCCGGCGGGTCTTTCTCATTCTGCAGGATACAGAAACTTGTAGTGCATCTTCTGTATGCTATCTGTAACTCCTGTTCGCTGGCTATCTTCCTATGTATTGACCTAAGGTATGGGTTAAACATGATGGAGATGTGTGTTGCATTATCAGGCCGTAAGTCGGTAGTACTATTTGCAAAGGGGGGTTGGTTCATGTGCTGGTACCGTTCAACCAAGTGGCGAGTTAGAGTCGGGTAGCTGTGTTCTGTTGCTACACATATAATATGGACTGACTTTTAGGGGCAATCCATTAATTGCACATCAGGAAAAGCCTAGGGACTGATCACATGTAGGTGGTGATGTTGGAGGCATAGATGACAAGTATCTAATAACAAAACCATTTATTTAAACATAAAGCAACTTACATAATATTAAAATACAGTGCATTCTAGAACAACAGGTGATGGGGAGGTTTTGGATGTCGAACGTAGATCAGTGGTGTGTTGTTCGAAGTAGCCTTGGGGCACTAGTGGTCACAAATTCATGGAACAAGTGGGGAGACTCCGGCAGTTGTTATAGGAGGATGAACTGAGTTCCTGGCTCAAGTCACTGTGGAACACTTGGCTGGAGAACTGCCCCGACCTTAAGATTTGGAGTTTTTATAGTATTTCCCCTCGAATCTCACCCTTTTGATTGTCCTGTGTCCCTTTTCCCTCTCCCTGATTGGTCATTCTTCTGTCTCCAGCCAAAAACAGACTGTTTTGAGTTGCGGAAAGGTCCACACCAGGAGGTTTTCTCCCGGCATCTGTTCACTTGGCCCAAGGTGTTGATGGAGCTTTGAAGCCTGAGCTTGTATTTTACTCTATTGTCTTTTCCCCAGACATTTTAGAGCCCAAACAATCTAACAGGTTAATAACTTTTAGTTATTAACCTGTTAGATTGT